AAGAAATTCATTTTTTTCTACAACTTTTTTTTGTTTGTTTATTAAATATTATTTATAAAGAACACTCTAGAAATACTAGAAAATTCTAGAGTGAAAAATGAACATGCTACGACTCAAAAAACAAGCAGCACTAGTAGTGCCATTACTTTTGCTAGTGACTATAAATCACCGTAAATTTGCCCGCAACTATTTAATCACTTTACTCATATTATAATAAGGATATTGTTTCAAAAATTCTTCACAATTTTGGCTTTTTAATAATGTAACCAATTATAGACCTAATAATTGTTTGCCAATATTCAATGTATTGCACTAAGTAAAGTAGGTGGACTCCAAAGTTTGCACGTATGAGTGAAATTCTTCTTGGCGATGGTTAGAGGGGAACATTTTAGCCTACCAACGAATTGCCGCGAATGCAAGGTCCATTAAAGCTTGCGATAGTGGATAATCATCATAACATGAACACAAGGTATTGTTGGCAATCACAGTGCCAGCATGTGTATAGAAACTGATATAACCAGTGTCTTTTTCCTAATTTTGAAAGGTAGATTTAAGTTTAAGAATATGAAAGATGCATTAGAACAAACAAAAAGAAATAAAAAATAGTCATACAATTATTAAATCATCAACTATGACAGGAATAAGTTCATTCATTTCGTTCAAAACTAAGATTTTTTTTTCACCAGGTATCACATCTTGAGCATACAAAACTGATAGATCTTTGCAAAAAATGCAATGTATAGATGTCATGCGAATTTGGCCAAGTTAAAAAAAAAATGATTATTATCACAACTTAAGATCTTTAAAGCAGTCAATAAAATGAAATAAAAAACACCTTTTTGCCCATCCAAATTTGTGAACTCAATCTTTATCATTTTCAAAGGAAACTCATGATGTCTGAGGTGAGATATTAAATAAACCTCAGAAAATTCAAGTTTTCCATTTTTGACATTACTACAAACATTATCGCCAACTTGGAGTTCTACCATTTCTATAAATTTACCACTAGCGAGTTATACTTTTGGTATCAAGGAAGAAACAATCAGATTTACGTGAACTATATGCTATCGCCAACATATCTTGGTATCTTTGTGCCATATCTCTTTCTCTATCTAAATATTGTTGTTGCAACCCTCTAATTAGTTGCAAATTACTATCAGCTTCTCTTTGTGAATGTCTGTATTACAATTCCTGAAGCTTCAAGGCATACTCCTGTTTAATTTCCTCTAGTTTACGTTGGTGAACCTCTTCAGACTGTTGTTTTGCACTCTCTTTTAATTTTAATTCATATTCTTCCTTTGCCTTTTTTTCTTCCTCTGCTTTTTGCGACGAATTTCTTCTTGATCTTTCTGAGACTTTTCAAGTTGATTAGAAGTGTATGCTCCTTGCATACCACTGATTAATGACTTAATCTTTCTTAATCTTAATTTATAATTAGGATCATCTGGTGAAATATAATCAGGGTTTGGAGAAATAGCCCAACGATTGTCTATATCCTTAATAAAAGCACGAACAGGTTCGTTTCAATCTCCCCTCATTACATTTCTATCATTAATCTGCGCTTTAGTTGTATTAGAAAATACAGCAATGATATGACGAATTGCTTCTTCACCAAAAAAAGTCTTAGTCCATCCAAACATTCTTTTGCTCAGCTGTAAACCGCTTTGCTTCTGTAAAATTCATCAAAGGTTAAAATTCAAAGTCAAAAAATTCACAAAAGTTACATTTATAGTATATCATGTATTAAGTTATTACATACTGAAAATAAACAGGATAGCCTTGACTCCATAAGCACATCTTTTGACAGCGTTGGTAATTTCTTGAAGTACATCATCTGTAAGTTGATGGATATCAAATATTCCAGGTGTGTCGACAATGTTATATCTGACGCCATCTATAGACACCACTGCTGTTCCACATTCTCTCGTGACAAATTTCTACAATTTTATTAAATTATTATCTTACTGATGAATATTGAACCATGAAATTGAATACAAAATGCAATTATTTACCATTCTCGATGAAACATGGAAAGGTCCTCTGTTGTTATGTGGGTAACCAAGAAGCATGTTACTCAAAGAACTTTTTCCTGAATCTAAAATTCCTTCCTTTAATAAATGGAAAAAAAAATTGTTAAATAAAACAACAAAGGCACTTACCTGTTTTTCCTACTAGGAGAATAACGGGGTTGGGAGCATCCAAATTAAAATTTACGGTATAATTCGAATTGTAATCATTCCTATCATCACCTTCAGCATTCAAATTAACACCTTCAGTATTATTAGAACCATCAGCATTCAACTTAATACCTTCGGTATTATCGGAACCCTTAGCATTCAAATTAATTCTTTGAGTAAAATAGGGACTGTCAGTTGTTCTGGATATTAATGAGATCGAAAAAAGTATTAAAAAGAAAATTTTATCGCTAACTAATATCAAAATCAATTATATATATTATTACTCAACTCAGCTAAATGCCTATAAATCATGTGAATCTTTTCGCTCATCTTGATAATGAAAAGTTTGTTTGTTTAAAATAAAATACAGACCTGGCCTATTTATAAAAACTAAAAAAAAAGGAAAACTGCAAAAAGAAACATCTGATGACATTATCTCTTTCATCGATAACATTTAAATAAATCAAAGAATGTTAGTGTGTAAACGGTTTTCATACAAGTAAGCTAAGGGCAGACTTAATGATGTAATGATATTTAGTTAAGTTACATCCTAGATGTATCAAGGACGTATTTTTGAAATCATAATTTTAATTATTATAATTATTATAGATCGGCATGCTCGCTTTCCATTTCACTAGTCTAGCTTATGCGGGTAGGGCTAGGTATGTGAGATGTATATTCATTTTGATACTTCTCTGGGAGCTTTGCATCATAGCTAGATTGCTATCGCTTTGAGCATTTGTCATCTGACCTTTCGTGATTCTCCTCGGCTATATGATAATAAAGCTCATATAATTTCTCTAAACACACAGATCATTATCCATATACCTTTTGCGATAATTTTCTAGCCTTAGAGTGTATGTCTCTTCGTTAGAATATCTTGACTGCGACTGTCTTAATATAGTCATTCGGATTCTTTCAGCTTGCAATTTTTCTTTAGATAGTCTCCATAGTTTTTTGCAAGATTATCATATTTTTGCCCTTTCGCAATGAGTTTTTATGACTTTGACTTGCGCAAGTCCTATATCCTTATTATCAACCATTTTGTGTGTTTCTACTATAGCAATAAAAAAAAATTTAATTATAAAAATATATTCTTTAGTTACTAGTATTTTTTTACCTTGAAAAAAATATTTATTATAAAGCATCTATTTCTTGTCATGAAGTTTAGCTTCTTTTGATTCCTCATATGCTACCAGACGTTTATATAATCAAATTTGCCAATGCCTATACAGGAAGATTTAAATTCTATCAAGCAAGATCCAATGCTTGTTATCATACAAATTCAACCTTATTTTAATTATCCTTCTCCAGATATATTTGATGATCATTATTGCGGAAACCATACATATCATGTTAGATTAGCTTTTTAGTCCTAAAAATTTATCATGTCGAAGCTCATCTTTGATCACTTATTTTTTTACATCTTTTGCTTTCTAAATTTCATGCTTTTTCTGCTAATTCTTTACACCCTGAAATTTTCTAAATTCTTCCTTCTTTAGTTTTTTCTCATAATCTGCTTTAGTTTCAGAAGTTTTTAAGTCATGCTTAGCAGAAAGAACTGAATACATTTTGGCTTTAAGCATACTAATTAGCCTATTAGATTCCTTTGTCACATCTTTCATTAAAAATAAATTTCCTGAATAGTCAAGATCAAAAATATCTGGTTTTTTTTGCTCAATCTTTATAGATGTAGAGAGTCTGTATCAGTGTAAAATAAATGAATCTTATCTTAATAGCAAGGTTTTATATAAATGTATCAAAAGTTAAACATAATAGCCTTGTTAATGTTGAAAATACCTGCATTATATAGATTAGTTTATTTAAATTTACTGTATTTTTTAACATATAGACTACTATAATTTTCACTTCAAATGTTTTAAAACCTATATAAAATGGTAAATTTATCAAATGTCTGATTTTTTTATTCTTTTTTATTTAAAATAGTTCTATTCTTATATATTTATGAACATTTTCTATCTATTTGCTGAAAATTAAATTGTTCTTTAGCTTATAATATATAATTTTAAATTTATTTTTATTTACTTTAGCTATTTTACTTTTACAAATATTTTTCTCAATATATTTTTCATCTATAAAGATTATCTAATCTTAAAAGTATTATGAATCTTTATAATCTTTATTTTAAAATTTCATATATATTTAGAAAGCTCAATTAGTGATACCTACTTTAATTATTTTATCATGATTAAACTTTTATCAAATTTTATATTTAACTAAATCTTTGACTAAAGTCTAAACCTTTGATTAAACTTTTAGTAAATGATTAAATGACTAAACTTAAATTACTTTATAATATATAAATTATAATTTTTATTTATTTATTTTTATTAAAAAATATATTATTATTTAATATTTATTAATTTTAATTTAAATCTTTTATTAATTAAATATATGGGCCCTTTGCAATAGAAAGTGGGGAAACTATCTTATAGTAGTTTTTGAGATAAATCGGTTTTTGTGAAATAAACAAAGGAGGTGAGGTGATATTAAAAATAAAATGCATGATCAACTCATAAATTGCGAATATTGATCATTGCCAAAATAAAGAATACAAGCAATATTCTTTGCAATAGAAAAGAGGAAAACAGCCAGAAAAATTGTTGTTGAATTTGCTAATTAATACTTTCGTTAAAATGGATTTTGGGAAGGTGGAGGATTCGGCTTTCGTTTAATGGTGAGTGATTTTTTTTAT